TGTCCTCTCTGGGACTCACTTACCTATTTAGACCATCAGGTGGGTATCTAGGATTCTGTGATGCCAAGATTCAGGTGCTACATTCACAAGTGGAAAGAAGGGTTTGCCAGGATCCCACACTGATAAGTTGGTAAAATATTCATTCTCGAACTGGGCTCTGGAGCCAAAATACCCTTGACCCTTGAACTGTTCCAGCCACTCCCCACTCTGGCTGAACCTGGAAGAATCTAGACTTTTTTTGTTTGTTTGTTTGTTTTTTTGAGTTGGAGTCTCACTCTGTCACCCAGGCTGCAGTGCAGTGGTGTGATCTCAGCTCACTGCAACCTCCTCCTCCTGGGTTCAAGTGATTCTCCTGTCTCAGACTCCCAAGTAGCTGGGACTACAGGCACCCACACCCAGCTAATTTTTTGTATTTTTAGTAGAGACAGGGTTTCACCATGTTAGCCAGGATGGTCTTGATCTCCTGACCTCATGATTCACCCACCTCGGCCTCCCATAGTGCTGGGATTACAGGTGTGAGCCACTGCACCCAGCCCTCTAGACCCTTCTTGTTACAGTCTCTTGCCCTAGGAGGGCTTGAAGGAGGCCAGTCAAACCCCCTCATTTTACAGGTGGGCAGACTGAGGCCCAGGTCTCCCCAGTGCCCAGGCTTCATCTGAGCAGAACTCCCAAATGGTGGATAGTAGAATACGGTGATTAAAAGCAAATGTCCTGGCTGGGCAAAGAGGCTCACACCTGTAATCCGAGCACTTTGGGAGGTCAAGAAAGGCAGATTGCTTGAACCCAGGAGTTCAAGACTAGCCCTGGCAACATAAGGAGACCCCCATCTCTACAAAAAATAAAAAAATTAGCCGGGCATGGTGGCATGTGTCTATAGTCCCACTGTGAGCCTGGGAGGTCAAGGCTGCAGTGAGCCATGGTTGTGCCACTCCACTCCAGCCTGGGCGACAGAGTCAGACTCTGTCTCAAAAAAATTAAAAAAAAGAAAAACCAAAAGAACGAAGGTTCTGAACCTGTCTCCTTATCTGTATAATGGTGGTCCTACCTCATAGGACTCAAGCTGTGAAGGTCATAATGGTAACAAAATTGCCACACATGTATTATAAGTGTGATCAGGAGCGAGTGTCCAACCCATCAGATAGCAATTACATAGTGCCCCACCATGAGCCTAGACCCCCACTCCCCACGCCCAGGCATCAGGGACTCCCAGAAGTCTAAAGAGGTCTAGCCTAGCACATCCAGAACTCTCTCCTTCCTGTCTCAGCCCCTTGCCTCACCTTTGTCTGTGAGCTGGGTCTCCTGGAATTCACTGCTGCCCAGTGGGCATCTGAGGCCCCTTCTCCTCCAGGGCCGGAAGTTTGCCTGGCACTGTTGCCCGCCCAGAGAACACAGCAGCTGGATGACATCATGGAGATGATGGCCTTGCCTAACTAGTTTGCCAACAGCTCCTCAGTCCCACTCCTAGGGCTGCTGGCCATGACCTAGGGCGCCTCCAGTTCTACACATAAGGAGGAAGGTCATAGCCCTTGGATCCAGCCAACTCCAGCAACAAACAATTCATCTCTAGGGACTCCATGCTCCAGCTTCACCTGCCTGTCTGTTGCCCAACAAGGCCCTCACAATCCTACTTACGTTCCCTTGCTCATGCTGTTCATGTCTCTAGGACTGCAGTGTTGTCCAGGGAGAGGAGGTTTAGAGAGCCCAAAGCACAGCTCCTCCATTGTGCATATGAGGAAGCTGAGGCTCCAAGAGGCCAAGCCTAAATGGGGTGGAGTCAGGGGTAGGACCCATCACCCTTGTTGCCTCCTGACCCCAGGCTTGGGCCTTCTCTGCAGGACCCTGACTGGGTGGAGGGTTAGCCAGGGTGACTTAGGGATGCAATGCAGACAGTTTGGTAAAATAATCATTCTTGGACTTGGGCTCTGGAGCAAAATATGACCCCTAGCCTCTGAGCTGCTTCAGTCACTTCCCACTCTGTGTTTCCAGGGTTGAACCTGGAAGAACCTAGAGTAGACCCTTTCTGTGACCACCCCTTGCCCTAGGAAGGCCTGAAGCAGTCCAGTCCAACCACTGCATTTTGCAGGGGACAGGCTGAGGCCCAGTCCTCCCTGGTGCCCACAAGATACATTCACCCTGCTCACCTGGCATTCAGAATCCTTCGTAAAGAGAACCACCCACATTTCCTGCTCCACCCACAGCTTTTCCTCCTCCTTTTCCCACTCACAAGACGACTAGTCTGCTCACACTGCTCCTCTGCCACAAATGTGCTTCCATACCTTTCTCCCTCTTCTATGTGGGGTGAATTTTTAAAGTTAGCCAGGAGTGGTGGTGTGTACCTGTAGTCCTAGCCTCTTGGGAAGCTGAAATGGAAGGATTGTTTGAGCCAGGAGTTTGAGGCCACAGTGAGCTGTGATCGTGACGCTGCACTCCAGCCTGTGGGACAGAGCAAGACCCTTTCTCTAAAAAAAAAAAAAAAAAAAAAAAA